AGATCACATAAGAAAAAAGGAATAGATAAACTCAAGCACAAATTATTCAATTTCTTTTCAGAATCAAATAATTCATTCTCTATAAACTATAATAATGTGATTGGAGTTTCTGAAATAGTCTGTCTCAGAAAAGTTACCTATGATAGTATTAATAAAGTTTCACAACATCTAGCTTAATTATATGATAAAGCTATTAATGCTGAAGATAGAGCAAATTGAACTAATCAGAAAGAAATTTTATATTAGTGTCTCTATTGGAAGGATTTCAGAAATCAGCTTGATAAGATTATTAGAAGTGGTAGTGATAAATTTGGTGAAAAGAAAGCAATAAGTGTACTTTATAATACCATTACAGAACAGCTTTCTATCCTTCACAAGAAAAGATTACAAGAATTAGGGTCACAACTTCAGGATGTATTATAGGATAGCTTGTGTAAGAGACTTAAAGAGCTGAAAAAATCTATAAATTTATTGAAAAAGTGGGTATAAATAAAATTAAGTATATTAATTCTTATAGTGCGAATTCTCTTTCAAAGCTTACTAATGAATAAATTTAAGAGATTATAGACTATGAAATATCTTCAAAAAAGTTATCTCTAGAAACAGATCATATGACAAAAATTTTTAAGATGACCTGTCCTAATAAAATCTTGCTCATATCTAATTGGAAGATAGAAAATTCATTATACATATCTCAAATCGCTTTAGCTAAGGTAAACGATGATGACAATGTATATTTTTATTCTGAAGAGAAGGAAGAGAAAGAAATGATTGAGGGGATGCTAAGGGTACTAGATGGAGGATAGTAGTAGTAACTGTAGTTGTGATAGTGATTCTAAAGGGGTGGTGTAAGACAATTTGGATGATAATGGATAAAATGGATACAATAAATATAATGAATTTAGTGAATGTGATAGAGGTTATTACTATTATGACTAGAGTTCTGATTGAGTTGAGTTAAGTCAAATTTAAAGATTAACTCTATTTGACTCTCTTTTTTCGAGTTGAGTCAAGTTAAATTTATTTTATAAAATCTTTTAATTTGATTTAATTCGAGTTATATAAATTTTAAACTTGATTTAATTTAACTTGACTTGATTTTAACTTGATTCGATTTTGAAAAAAAAATAATAAAAAAAAAATAAAAAGATTGAAAGAAAGGAAAAGTGAATGATTCATTATCATTCTTCTTGAACAATTTTTTTTATCATTTAAGTCAAATGATTCAGATAATCGTTCTTCTTGAACAATTTTTTATCATTCAAGTCAAACGATTAGTTATTATTCTTCTTAAACAAC